TTCCACCAGGAATCGAGCATAGATTATCAGCGCTTATCAAGAGAGACGACGCTCTGATGATATCTACAGATGAGCTCGCTACGAACAATGACCTATCGCCACCAGATTTGCTTTTACGAAGCCCAGGGAGCTATCGTGCTGACGTTAAGAAACTTCAACAAGAAGTCTATGACATCAGTGGATATGCTCTGTCAATGGTGCAGAGTGGCAACAGCGGATATCCCCTTTCACTGCCTATCCTAGAGGATGCTCCACTGAACGAGCCAAAGGCAACTGCCATTACAAGGACGCTAACTCCCATCAAGGAGTTGGCTTCGAAATTGAAAGAGAGCCTCGATTTGACTACCAAAAAGAATTTCACGGATGGATCATATAGCACCATAATCCAGGATTCGCAAAGGTCTGGGGTTCTCCGCATCGCAAAGATTTCTCAGATCCAGGTAGTCATTCTCCAAGAATTACTGGAAGAGGCAATTTCTCTTTGTGATTCTTTGAATGCAAAAGAAGTGTCTCATTCTGCGGAATGGGACCTGCTCCAAACTATCATGGATGATCTTTACAATGCTGTCAATCAAATACTGTTACACCTGGGCTTGGATATATTGGCTACGCCACCAACCGAAATGGATATCTATGACAGTTGCACAACGGTTTCTCGTTTGCTATTACCACTACTTCACATTTTGTTTCTTGGCTTGATTTCGTTCATCACTTCTCATGTGAGCCTTGAACCGACCTTCTCAGACGAAACCCACATTGAGGAACTTCTGATTGAGACCGGGGCCCGAAATGTATACCTTTCGCGTCGTCGTCTGCTCTGCTTGGATGGTTTTCTAAAGCAGCCCGTCTGGTGCTTTGGCACGAGCTCAATCCATGTCCCCGCAGGCATTCAACGGCGGTATTACCTCTCAACTTTTCTTGAAGACTTCATTGGGCTATGGGGACCAGTAAGACTCGAGCAAAGTTTTGAGGATAATACTGTCAGCTCCATCACGATGCGTGGCGGTGAATTGCGACCGAAGCCCTCAGCTGCTCTACTGCTAACATGTGTTCATCTAACGGACAACGAGACCCTCTGCCACTAGCGTAGCTGGTTGGATGCCGCCCATGAGGTGAACCACAGAACTCTACGGATTGACATCAGTCGTCGTTTGCTAATTGGTGGAGGAACGCGAAACACCAATAAGGATATCCAACCCGGACCTGAAGCCCAAGCAATGCCGAAGCAGTGTACATGTGGCAAAGTTTCTAGGCATGTCACCAGTTGTTCTGTTTTCGAGCTGAAGGCAAAGATTCCCTCGTGGAAATTGAAGGAGAAAACAGCACAGATATCTGGTGGCCAGTACATCTCAGCGCTTTACGGTCATACGTGGAAGTTTGATGCTGGATGGACGATAAAAGATGTGATTGTGGAAGACTGGCTGAATTTGTCAGATCCTTCACATTTCCCTAAGCCATTTTACCTGGATTATTCGACAGTACTAGAAATCAGTCGCTGCACGAGCCATTCTCGGCGTACTTCAATCTGGAATTTCTTGCAGGAAGAGGTCATTCGGAGTTATTTGGAGAAAACTGTGGGGGTTGCGGTTATAAGTGATTTCAACATCATTCTAGAGTGGTATAAAAGTAAACGTTCAACTTCTAGCTTCGAGGCAATGTGGCATCTTCTCACTGATGAAGGCAAAGAGACTTGCAAGAAGATTGTGAGAGATCTCCTCAATACTCTCAGAAGTACGGGAGTGGGCGAGGACGGTCTGCTTCAGGCTTGGGATGCAACTTCTGAAGGGCGTCTGGATGGAAGGAAGCTCAAGCCATGCTGGCGATCCATGGTGAAAGATGATCTTGCATGCGCTACCTTTGCTGTGATATCGAATGTCTGCATAGAACACGGCAAATCAGAGGAAAACCCTCGAAAACGGTCGAGAAGTTCAGGACGAAAACATCAAAATTCGGCAGAAATGGCTCAAAATCCAGAGTTTGTTTTGGGAACAAAAATCTGCGTCACTTTCCCATTGTCTAAAGCTGGCGCCTCTCATGCTGGTCAAACATCGAAAATTGAGTTCGACGAAGGGTTTCAGAAATGGAGAGTTTCCGGTTGTAAGGAACTGCCCGCCCGTGCACCTACACTGACATTCCCGGAGACTCAATTGGAGCTTTTAAGACAAAGGCAGCTTGCTCGAAAAAGGGAACGCTCAGTTATGGCAGTCTCGATGTCACTCCATGACAAAATCGAAGATAGCATTCCAATCCATTCAAGTGCCGCTACGTCAACTATTCCATCAAAACCCCGGCAACCACGTAAATCCCAGCGTCAAACCCGCAAGGGGAAAGAAGTAGCCAGATCAGAGAACTCAATTCGATTCAAGAACGGCGAAGGAGCTGTTATTGGGAAATTGATCCTTGGACCTGATGCGAAGATTAAGTCTCTGTCTCGTTTAAAAAGTCAGTATCCCGTCTACGCAAAGTGGGAGAATTCGTCACCCGGTTTTTTTGGTGCAGTCCACAAATTCGAGCAAGCTATCGACAACCGGATCCGCGAATGGGCACAGCAAAAGGCAAGAGGACTTCTGCCGTGGATGATAAACCACATGTCTGTCGACGAGGAAACAACACCTTGGGCGGCAGAACACATCAGAGGAGGAGACTTGAATCCCGACCAGGCATTAGTCCAAACTTTCATTGGATAGAAAAAAGTTCTGGTCTACTCACACAACTCTGCCTTACTCATCCAATAGAATGAGTTTTTAGGTAGGAGCTGAGAAACCTTACCACTTATTTTCATTTTTAAATAATTAACTGAAATGGCTCTTCTTACCCCTCACAACTTTTCAGACATGAAATACATTGTGACGTACTTCATTGATGGATGGAGCAAATGCGGCCGGCGTAGCTAGCAATCACCTGGTGCACTGAACCGGCACGTTAGACTATTATCACGGTCTCTAGAGCGGTAAATCACCCCACCTTCCTGTCTTTTGCTACCCTCTCATGGTCAATATGACCGCCAGCAACACTCAGATACGTTAAACCTATACGATGCTATGTATCTGATCTGCCATCCAATTTTTGTAGCACGAGAACTGCATACGCGATGACCTCAAGCAAGGCGATGAAATCGAGTTGGACTGGCTCTGGTCGACCTGGGATTGGTTATACGGGCTCATCCAGCATGATATCAAATCGTGTTACTCCTGCATGTTGATCCATACCAAGTTTCTCTGAGCTGTCAGCGTCGAACATACTCGGGTCTGGTACTTGGAGCCGTATAGCCCCTGCACCAATAATTTCCAATATCCCCCGTCAGTCTCCGTTTTTGGGGGACTCGCGTCAAGTGCAGCCAGCCATCGGCAAAAACTATACCGGATTCGACATCATCCTTGAGTATGTGACCAGCTTCGGTGTGTACCATCAACTAACGACGGCGATTCTTGAGAAATCCTCTAGTCAGACGAAACGCTTGATTTTAATATCTCCGCCACAGTGGCGGGTGCCATGTCTGCTAGAGTTTCTCGTGGGTGCAACTAATGGTAGAAGAATCGAGATAAGCCCAACTCCACGATGGTGCTATAAAATCAGCAGACCGTTGGCACTTCCCATGAGTAGACTTGCTCTTCCATGCGAGAGCGCCGAGGAGATTATTGGCCCATAGTCCAGCAAAATAAGGCTGATTTCCGGACAATGCAGAGATTTCTGCAGCCACACCAGCCACTGCAACGAGCTTGGCTGTAACCTTTGTCAATTTTCTTCGAGTGCAATTCTAAACCAGAGAAGTCCAATTTCGATACAACAGGACTTTATTCTCTTCTAAGTTGTATTTAGCAATATCAAAGTCTTTCCGTTCCAAATAAGCCTTTCTCCTGGTAGCGATGTCGGGTTGACATACTCCTTAGATATGAAGGCGTCCATAGATGGGTCGTCAGTCATTGAATCGAAAGAGGCGTTAAAAAGACTTATTGTGTTACATTCCTAAAATGCTTGCCGCTTGGTGAAGCGAAGAGTACGACAAGACAGTATACGATCCTGCAAAGTACAAGCTCTCGAATGGAACCACACACGGGCATTTCCACAGCCTTCAATCTTGGATCTCGATCTTTAAGTGCTTCATGCTCGGAATTCTCTGAGCTGGTAGCTGATACCATGAGTGTGCAATTCTTGAACACGTGTGCCATTTTAGACACTTCTCGTTGCCAGTCACCTGTGTCATCTTGAATGGTGCATGGCGAGTCCATCCAGAAATAACGCAAACCAAGTTTCTAAGTGATCCTAACAGCCTCTCAAAAGGGACGTCGAGAGTTGCACGCCCCGAATATGGTCTGGTAACGGGCCTCGAGTGGTGATTAGAAATCATTTGCCTCCCCAGCAATGGTTCAATGGTGCCCAAGAACCTTTTTAATCATGGCTGTCAATAAGCTGTACTTCCGAGCGTTGTCTGCCTCAAAACTCACCTATCAAGTGTCGAAGGCATACCTCTCCCGAATCAGCCCGGCATTGCGACAAGCCCTATATTCACGAACTCAATTTGCGGGGTTGACGAATTGTAGAGATGAGTCGAGAAGGAAATTGGCCCGAGCAACCAAGTATTAACCCGCTAGCACTATCCATTCCAGTCTCGAAATGGGAGCGATTAATCACTGAAGTAGCTCTTTTTTCAGCTATTTCTGCGCTCGCAAGCAAAAAAAAAGAAACCCCCCAAGAATCAAAACAGCTCTCCTGGTGGCTGTAGAAAATGTTTCTTTCGAATGGGAGTTTTATGCCATACGTATATGGCACTAGCCAATATATTAAAGCGCAAAGGGAATCAATTCTGTCCTGTGGTCGACGTTTGGAGATGTTGAAGTGAAAGGGTTCTTGCGGCGTCGACTCACGGCACTAGACTTGGCGATAGGGTAATTGTCGGTTCGTTTACCTGCCCAGCCCCGCAAAAACATTGCGTGTATATATTTAAATAAGCAGGTTTGCTTCAACAATTCGTGCAAACACGACAAAGTTTAAAGCAGCAAGCGTTTGTGGTTTAGTGGTAAAATCCATCGTTGCCACGTGACTTAGGTCACAGTTTCGATGGGCCCCGGGTTCGATTCCCGGCGAACGCAAGAGATTTCAAAATTAATTTTTTGCATTTTTCTGGCCACCAGGACACTCACATTGTGAATGTGAGCCTTTGGCGCGTCGAAATTCGAAATTTGCTGGGATTTGATTGGATTAAAGTGCTGGGCGTGGTGTTTAGGCGAGGTCCACCACAAGAAAAACCCACGGTTGCTGCTTTTCGGCTCAATGTCAGTATGCATGTCCGTGGTTTACTGCCGGAAAATCCACCGTTGCTGTTCATCGCTGGGCCCCAGGCAAAAATTGTTTTGTACGATCACCGAACTACTAGTTGAAAATGTCAAGTTATTAAAAATAACGTACTATTCTTCAATGTTCGATATTCTAGGAATAATGTAGCCAATCCTCTGAAAATGCGCTTCGTAAAGTGTGGCACGAGGTTAACTGTGTATTAGATTACGAAGGAAAAGGTTGGAAGAAACAATGAATAGATATTCTTTTCCTAAGCTTAATTTTTCCCGAGCTTAGAAGCCGACCAGGCTCGCGGTGGACATAAAATCGCGGACCCGAAACTCACCGGTAGGTTGATTTAAGGGCACATGATATACCACAGTGACATGCTCATCAAGATTACCTTTGTAACTTCGATTGCTGTTTTCGTCTTAACTTTTCCTCTTCTTACCTCCCTTACATTAATTTAAGGGATATTTTCGAGACGGGTAAGAATTACGCGTTTTTGTGTCCACCACGAGCCAGGGAAGGAACACCACCAAAAATAAGGTAGGGAAGCTCTGTATATCTACGTCTAGAATGAACCCCAGGACATGGGTCGAGCCACTCTGAATATCCTCACCCACTACATCCTAGGGTCCCAGTTATCCTGGCAGTTATAGATTTATAAAATGGAAAATGGATTATGCATAGGAAATGAATTGCCAAAAATTAAACATCACCTTGCCTTGAAAAATCTCCAACCGAGAGGAAATCTAATTAATCCTTTCACGTTGTCCTCGGTTCTGGCCTCATGGAACTTCAATGAAGAAAAGTATGGTTCTCACAAATATCCTCAAAATACAAAATTCTCAACTTTTGATCAACCTCTCAAACCTCATCCTTAGTAGTCAACTGCCCAAAAATAGCATCATAAATCGCCTGCCCAAGTGGCCCCGCACTCGCTGGATTCTGCCCCGTAATCAGTCTCCCACCCCTCGCAACCACAACCCTCTGACCCCAATCCTCCTTCGCCTTAACAAACTTCCCTCCACTCGCCTTATTCAGCTCATCTTCTAAACTAAATGGCACAACACTCGTCAAGCCTACTGCATCTTCTTCGGTGTTTGAGAATCCTGTTACGGGCTGGTCTTTGATGAGGTATTCGCCGGAGGGGAGCTTGACTTGCGCGATTGCTGACGGGCCGTGGCAGACGGCGGAGATTATTTTGTTGTGGGTGTAGAATTCGTTGATTAGGGTGTGGGAGGTTGTGTCTGTGGCTAGATCCCACATTGCTGTGCTCTTGTCAGTTCTTTTCCTTGTCTATTTTGGATTGGAGGAGCGTACGGCCATGGCCTCCAACGAAGAAGATAGCTTCAAATTGTTTGGCTTTTCCCAGGAAGGAGCTTAGCTTCTCTGTGTTCTCCCACAATGGCTTCTTATCATTTAGGAACTTGACGGAAATCTTGTCTTCCTTTGTTGCTTCGACGGATGAGGGGTCGAGGGGAGCGGCTCCGCCATTAGGTGAAGCGATAGTAATGTCAACATGCGGCGCGAGGACTTCGTATGGGTGCGCAAATTCAGGCTGACAACATTAGATAGTTGATATTGTGAGAGGAATTGCAGTTCGTACCAAGTACCAACCAGTTGGCTTGCCGGTATCTCCCATCTGGTCATGGGAAGTAAGAACGAAAAGAACTTTAGGTGCCATGTTTGCGATTGATTATACTCAATTGATCTATATCTTGTGGTATTTGGAAAGATGACTAAAATCGTATGGCTCAAGAGTAGTTTCGAAGTTCTCTGATGAGGTGTTGTTGCTTTTTTATTCAAAGTGCAGGGCGAGGTAAGGTGGAATGCTACAAGGCAAGTGGGGTAGAAGACAAGAAGAGCTCACCCCTGTTTTCCCTCGGCACCTGCCAATTTCATCCACATATTCGGATTCTATTAGCTGTTTTAAGGTTTTCAACTCCCTGGTCGATCCATTAATTTCATTCTTCTCTATCTCAATTCGCCCTTGGAACCGGCATGTCCGCATTGTGCTCCGAGACACTCTCGTCGTTTGTCAGCTCGAAATATTTTGGTGGGATATTTCAAACCCGCTATGACATCAGTGGTCAATTGGAAAGCTCTCGAGAACACACGTGAAATCTTTGTCAATCGACAAAATCCCGGTGTCTTGGAAAATATTAGACTATGCAATGCAATGATATTCCGGAACTACCCAAGATTTTACAAACGATTTCCCAATCGCTAAACAACCCAAACACCTTTTCAACCAATTATTTAGTGACCATTGGTAGCCTTAGCACCAATCTCAGCCTCTACATCGGTATAGCTGCCCTTGAAGACCTTCTCGAATTGATGCTCGTTCCATCTGACAGTTGGCTTGAGACCAGCGAACTTCCATACACCATCAACCTTCCTGTAGTAGTGCTCGTTGGTTGCGTGGCTGTGGCCCCGAAGCTTGACCTCCTTCAAGTCTGGTGCAGTGTAGACTTGGTGAGCGGCACGAAGTTGGTGGTGTCCAATTACTTCTGTGTCAGAAACACGCTCCCATCGTGTAGCGCCAAGAAGATGTTGTGTCTTGACACATGGGTCACCAAGGAAACCATCGTCAGTGATCATGGCCATGAACTCCTCAGCAGGCATGGCAGGCCATTTGTCCTTGCCAATGTCTGTGTAGTCGACCAAGAGAGTTGGTGCAATAATGCTTCTCAGACGCTTCCAGTCCTGATTTTAATGTTAGGATATTTTTCTGAGCGACTTTTACACATTTGTCGAACCTTGGCATCGTAGCTATCACCCCAATCGAACATGAGAGCAGTAAGCTCAAGGTAATCTGTCTTCTTGTTAACCCGTATTCAGGATTTTGTTGGAGTTATTCATACCCTCAAATGTGACCGACTTGGTACTCTTCCATAACGAAGGCTTCTCCATGGTGGAGTCGTCGAATGTGATGGTGAAAGAAGGCATGGTAGAACTGGACTATTTAACGATTGAAGATGATGATGAATTGCTATCTGGATATTGGTGAGGTTGTGCATCGGTCTTGACTGTTTGGAAGTTATATAGTTCATGTTGCTGGGGGTCCGGGCAACGAATCCGGAGGTCCGCCTCGGACATCCCGCCACAAAACTGACACAGCCAAAATACCCATTGAGCGGTTGCTATGCACCGTAAGAAATTAATGCCACTCCGGAGGGCATGATATTTTTGGATTCCGCCAGTCGCACTTCCGATTGTCGTTGTTAAGTGGTCGCAACAAATCCTTCGTGTCGGGTTCGGGAGATCAACCTCGCATCCTCCCGCGAAGTTAGCCACACAACTTTTAAACAGACGTACCTCCGTTTTTTCTCTTCAAACTCTTCAAACTTCCTCGCAAAGTAGCGATTCGAGTGTTCAAAATGAGTTGACGTTCCGATCAGAGGCTTCTTTCCGCAACTCAAGCTGTCATTTTTTCCACGTCAGATCGTTGCGAGCCAATGTGAGCAGAGAAAGCTACACAGACAAGATTAACCGGTGTCAAAGCACAGACTTCATAACGTTTCTTTACTAATTTTATAGGCAGTTGGGGTACCTTATGAAACAAAATTGAAGCATGCGAAGGCTTATCAACTTCGGACGAAACAATGCACTTTGCGAAAGTTGGGACTGGATGAAGACCTTTTTGACAGCGCTAGCCTTGCGATATACTTCTGAGAACACTACGGAACAAAGTGCTTGCGAGAAATGGAGAGGGAACAAATGATTCCGTCCCCATATCGGAGTTTCGAGAAGCAGACTGCAATAACAATCACAAAGCTAAAACAATGGTGGAGGTAACTGCGCAAACAAGGAGCTGTGCAACACAGTCATAGATCTGAATATAAGGCTATTGTGAGATCTATCATCTGGATTTTTTACTTGCAAGCAATTACATTCGATTTGCCCGAGTCCCGAACCATTTTTTCGCTTTTGGCACTTGCTCTTTGTTAATCAATTCAATTCAACATGACGACGTATAACGGCCAATTCGGGTCTCTGGAGGGAAAGGTAGCTTTGATTACGGGGTCTGGAGGTGGAATTGGAAAGGGAATCGCAACTGAGTGTATGCAATCTTCATCCCAAGTTGTCGATTTGATGGGACATATCTCGAGATTCAAGACAAGCTGACCAGGACAATAGTAGGACAGCGTGGCGCATCCGTTGTTGTCAACTATGCCAACAATTCCACAGGCGCTGAGGAAGTTGTCAAGGAAATAGAGGCAGCAGGCAGTAAAGCTATTGCAGTGCAGGCCAATGTTACCAAAATTGCAGATATCAAGCGACTCTTCCAAGCTGCGATTGACAAATTCGGAAAACTGGACATTGTGGTTTCGAATTCGGGGACTGAGAGCTTCAAGCCTGAAGACCAAGTAACAGAGGAGGAGTATGACCAAGTATTCGCTCTAAATACCAAGGCACAATTCTTCGTAGCACAGCATGCGTATATGAACCTCGAACGAGGTGGCCGTATAATATTGATGTCTTCAGTGGCAGCGAAGGCTTCCGGAATTCCAAACCATGCCCTGTATGCTGGAAGTAAAGCTGCAGTAGAAGGCTTCACTCGAAGCTTCTCGACCGACTGTGGCCACAAAGGCATCACTGTCAACGCCATCGCACCAGGAGGAGTCAAGTCTGCCATGTTCGATAAGAACGCGTGGCACTATGCGCCTGGCGGAGACCCGTCTGTAAGTTTCCCGCCAAACTTCCATTTATGATGCTGTACGCCATGTATATGGCGCTTGTATCGTGGTTTACCTTGGGATATCTTTGTCGTTAACCAATTGATATAGTGGCCAGTTGAGAAGATGGA